AAGGGGGGGGGGTGAGGCATAGGGGGGGGGGGGCATGACCGGGTTCGCATTGTGCCTTTGGCGGGGTGGGAGGGGGGAGGGGGTAGCCATAATATATATATATTTTTTGTAAGCATTGTTATGTGTTATTTTTGTTTGTTTTTCTTCTGGTTATATAAAGTTTATGATTTTTTGTATTTATTTGCCTTCTTATCGTTGTTTTCTTATCTTATTTTTGATATAGCGACATTATCCATCTCCTTTTCCCTCCTTTCTTTCTCTCTCCTTTAATCCATCTCTTTCCTTCCTTCCCTTCTTATCAACCCCTTCTCACTGTCTCTCCTTCTCTTCCTCTCCCTCTCTTCACATCTCGTTTCCCCCCTTCCTTTCTCAGACCCCTCTCTTCTCTTCCTCTGCTCATATCTCCTCCCTCCTTTCGTCGCCTTCTCTCCTCCTATCCCTCCTCCCTTCCTTTTCATCGCCCCTCTTCTCTTCCTCTCCTCTTTTCCCTTCTCCCTTTAATTTTCATTGCCCTCCTTCTCTTCCTCTCCTCTTTTCCCTCCTTCCTTTCCTTTTCATCGCCCTCCTTCTCTTCCTCTCCTCTTTTCCCTTCCTTTCCTTTTCCTCGCCCTTCTTCTCTCCCTCCTCCCTTTCCTTTTCATCGCCTCCCCCCCCCCCCGCGCCGGCATTACCTTGTCTGCCCTCGTAGTCGGGCAGGACGACGCTGGTGGTGAAGGTCCAGAACTTCTCTGGGTGGCGCTCCTTGAGCGAGACCTCGTCCCTGACGGAGGCGTCGATCGGGTGCGGCAGCGACGACGACTTCTGCGATTTCTGCGACTTCTGCGACTTGGCGTCGCCGTCCTGCTGGTCGAGCTGGCCGTGGAAGAAGCGGTGGATGTCGGACAGCGACTTGGGCTCCCTGGCGCCGTCGTCCTTGTCGGAGGCGAACAGCGCCTGGTAGTTGGCGTGGCTCCTCCTGAGGGTGCTGAAGGTCCTGGACAGCGTCGGCCGCGAGGACTTCCTCCTGTCGGAGTCGCTCTCGCGCCCGTCGTCGCCGCCCCGCCGCTCCTCCTCGTCCGAGTAGGCGTGGGCGTCGTCGTTGTACTGCCGCTTGTACTTCCTGGCGAGGGAGCGCGTGATGGACTTGCTGAAGGAGCGGCTGACGGAGCGCCCGACGCGCCGGCTCAGGCTCCTGCGCAGCTGCGTCACCGAGTCCGTGATCTGCGCCACGGAGTCGCTGATCCTGGCTTGGCCGACGGCGAGGCTGCGGCGGCCGAGCCCGATGGCGGGGCTGCTCTCGTGCCGCTTGAGGCCGCCGCGGCTCTTGGGCGGCGGCGGCGGCGGGACCCCGTCGGCGGGCGCCTCGTCGTGGCGGCCTCTGTCGGATGCCGCTCGAGGGCGTCGCGGTGCCGCGGCTCGCCTCCTCGCGCCGTGCCGCGACCCGCGCCGCTCCTTCTTGATGTCCGCGAAGCTGCTCATCCGCTGAGGTTCGCGCTCACGCCGAGCTGCCGTGGTCGTCCGGCCGCCTCTCCTGCGGCGCCCGCGGGTCCTTGGCGGACACGGGCGTGGAGGCGGGCGAGGGGGAGGCCCGGGCGTCGTGGAGGAGGGAGCCGCGGCGGTGCACGGGCGGCGGGCCGTCCTCCCTCGGCGCGCCCTTCGCCGCGTCCGGACTCCGCCTCTTCGACAGTTTGTCCTCGAACAGAATCTGCGGCGGCGGCGGCGGGCGCGCCGGCTTCGGACGCGGCGACGGCTGGTCGTCCGCGCCCTGGGGGTCGTGCGTGTGGCCCGACGAGTGGCTCTCGGGCGGCCTGCTCTGGATCCGCAGGAGGGAGGGCCTCCTGGCGAGGTCCGGGCGCGGCGAGGCCCTGTCCGCCGGCTGCAGGAGCCTGGCGTCGTGCGGGCTGCTGGGCGTGCTGCCCCTGTGCGGCGAGCCGTGCTTGCGCTGTCCCTGCAGGAAGGGCGCCAGCACGGGCTCGGGCGTCGAGCCGCGCGAGATGCGGTCGAAGTACTCGAGTTTGCCCTTGAAGGGCAGCGCGTCCTTGGTGGAGCCGGCGCCCGGCTGGCCCAGGAACGAGTACCGGCGGATCGGCTTCTTCTCGATGGCGGCCACGCCGTCGGCGTTCGGGTAGATGTACGAGAAGCCGGGCTGCGAGTGCTGGGGGCGCCGCGCCGGGGACGGGTCGCTCCGGGGCGTGCTGGGGCTAGGGCGCGGCGATCCTCCGAGCTGCGGCCAGCGGCTGGGGGAGCTGCCCTGGCTCGGGCGGGGCTCCTTGGCGTCGCTCCTGCGGTGTGAGGACTCCTTGGCGGCGTCCCTCCTGGCGGCGTCCGAGGAGCGGCGGCGGGCGGCGGCGCGCTCGTGGGACCGCCTCGACCTGTGGGACTTGTGGGACATCCCAGACTGAGACTCGGCTACGCTGCTGTTCTCAAGGCTGTCCTGGAACTCAGGACTGTTCTGGAACAGCTGGTCCAGCCGATACCGCTCTGCGTAGAGCTGGTCGATCTCTTGGTCCGAGACGGCCATGGTGACAAGCGGAGTCTTTCGGGCTCGAGGAACTCTGGGAGAAAGACAACCTTGTCAGCGGGTCGGCCACAGGTCAGCGGGTCGCGTCGGGCGCAGTCCTCATCGCCTCAGGTCATGCAGGACGAAGCAAGGGCAAGGGAGGAGGGCGCCCATGTCCTTCGCTGAGATCCTCGCTATTCCTCTTGCAGTTGCACATCAGCAGATCGAGATCCTGCGGCCAGACGGCAAAGGAATCCTAGTCTCTCGCAGCACTACGTCTCCTTCTCCTCGTGCTTCAGGTCGCGTCGTCCAGTTTCCATTCCCTCCGACACATCGCGATTCCCTCCCCACGGCAAGAACACTCGGCACTCCCTCCTCTCCCCTCTGCAGGCACAAGGCACTCCACAACATCCACTCGACGCCGAGCACTGATCCAGACCGACCGACGGACCTCCGGCAGACGAACTCGAGGCGCTGCTGCACCTTCGGAGGACAGGACGGGACTGGCGCGAGGGCGGCTGGGTGGCCTCGGCCGCAGGAAGGGGTGGGGGGAGGGGCGCGAAAGGGGAGTCAGGTGGCGGTCGGGCGGGGCGGTCGGAAGCCGCCAAGCAGCGCCGCCGACGACGGCTGCCTCGTCGGCCGACGGCGCTCCCCGCCCGAGGCCCGGGAGTCTCCGTGCCGCCCCCCCGCCTGGCGCTGCGTCCGTACTTCCGCGGGGGAGGGGTTCCCGAGGCGTCGAAGATGGGAGGTGGGGAGGGGGGGGGAGTGCCGGCTGGGCGGTGTGGTCGCCGGCATCTCCCAGCCGACTCATTACCATAAGGCCGAACCGACGCGTCGACGCCATATGCTGGACGAGGGACCGCGCTCACACCACCGCCTTCCCTTCCCCCCCCTCCTCCTCCCTCCTCTCCCCCGCCTTTCCTTCTCTTCCTTCTTCCTCCTTCCCTCCAGCAGGATCTCCTTCCCTCCCGCCAAGACATCCACAAAGAACTCCCAGTCCGCAACCCAAAACAAACCGAAAAATACCTTTATAAGTAGACCCTGCGCCTGAAATTCGTCCCGGAGAGCCAGGGATGCTGCCGGGCGCGTCCGAAAGAGCCGGAGATTATTTCCGCCTCCTTCAAGCGCCAATAAACCTCCTCTTAGGCGGAATTTCGCGGGGAAGTTAGTTTGCGTTTTCATTATCATTTGCTCGTTCCGGATGCCGTTATTTTGAGGAACGAAGGAGAGACGAGACAAAAAGGGAATGAAGGAAGAAAAAAAAAATTTTTAGATTTTTGCATATTCTTAGTTTTTGTTTTAGGTTGTTTTTCTGTTTGTTTGTTTATCGAGCTTTTTATTCACTTACCTATCGTTTCTTCCTTAAATTTTTCCTTTTTTCGTATCTGTTTTATTATTATTATCATTTTCTAATATAATTCACAGGGATCGCCATCCTTCATTCATCACATGAAGATAAAGAAAATTCCTTCCAAAATATAATTAAGAAAATTCAATGAAAAAGACCAGAAAAAAAAACAAAAGCAATGATACTGAGTAAAAAAATAAATAAATACACAAAACAAAAGAAAAAAAAGAAAAGAAAAGACAAGTTGATACAAAGAAGAGAAAAAGGAATTAAATATCGCACGTACAATAACCCAGAAAGAAAGAGAGAAAAAAAAAGAAAAAAAAAATCACACATCTGTCATATTAACCCTGAACAAAAGCCATTAACAGCATTTAACAAGATGATCGCACAATTACACCATCTATTTCACACCCCCTTCTCCCCCCCCCTCTCTCTGTCTCCCTCCCCCATTCACCCCTCTTTTTCCCCTCTCCTTCCCCCTTCTCTCCTCTCTCCCTCCCCTGTCCTCTCTCCGTTCCCCATTTCCTCCTCTCTCCTTCCCACGTCCTCTTCCTCTCCCTTCCCACTTCTCTTCCATTCTCCCTTCCCCCTTCTAACCCTCTCCTCTCTTCCCTTTCTCCATCTCCCTCTCTCCCTTTTCCCCTCTCCTCTCTCTCCTTTCCTTCCCTCTCTCCTTCCCTTCTCTCCCTTTCTCCCCTCTCCTTCTCCCCCCCCCATCTCCATCTCCCCTGAAACATATGGCGGAGTGTCCTTGGACAACGTAACACTCCAGAAGGCTCATTTGGCCATCTGATACCACGCTAACTCCGACCATATGTCACCCTGTGCTGTGCATGGGATACTAACCCTTATTTACTCAGATTAAGGGGATTTGTTTGAGATTTCTTATACAAATAATCGGATTAAGTGTGCTGATGATGACGATAATAATGGAATTGATATAGTGATGATAAATGATGATAATGTTGAAATGTTGATGATAATAATGTTGATAATGTTGATGATAATAATGATGATAATGTTGAATAATAATAATGATAATGATAATATTGTTGATACTAAAAACAAAAAAAAAAATAATAACAATAATCATTTTGTCATAATATAATTTAATTTTGTTCACTAAATTAGATATAATGTTTAGGATATAAAAATAAAGAGAAAACGAGACATGAGATATTAATGAAATAATATCCTTAAAAAAACAGCATTATATATATTTTCTTTTACAAAATCATAAATACTGAAAATCATAAATCATAAAATTCATAGTAAAGAACATTAAAATAATGAATAACCACCTAATTACAAGAAAGCACTTAATAAAAACGCCAATAAACACACACACGAATATATAAAGAAATTACAATTAGTTAATGAGGATAACGAATGAATAAATAACAAAGATTCGGCAACTGAATTACGAATAAGTAAAGGAGACGAAGCTAAAACAGCTGATTATGCAAATGAAAATGAGAAAACTCGTTAATACGAATATGATAATGAAGACAGAGATAAATAATTCCCCGCTTCCGCATCTCTCGTGTTCGGAAGAGAGAGAGAGAGAGAGAGAGAGAGAGGAGAGAGAGAGAGAGAGAAGAGAGAGAGAGAGAGAGAGAGAGAGAGAGAGAGAGAGAGAGAGAGAGAGAGAGAGAGAGAGTAGGAGAGAGAGAGAGAGAGAGAGAGAGAGACAGAGAGAGAGAGAGAGAGAGAGAGAGAGAGAGAGAGAGAGAGAGAGAAGAGAGAGAGAGGAGAGGAGAGAGAGAGGAGAGAGATGAGAGAGAGAGAAGAGAGAAGAGAGAGAGAGAGAGAGAGAGAGAAGAGAGAGAGAGAGAAACAGACAGACAGAAGAAGAGAGAGAGAGAGAGAGAAGAGAGAGAGAGAGGAGAGAGAGAGAGAGAGAGAGAGAGAGAGAGAGAGAGAGAGAAGACAGACAGACAGAGAGAGAGAGAGAGAGACGAGAGAGAGAGAGAGAGAGAGAGAGAGAGAGAGAGAGAGAGAGAGAGAGAAAGAAAGAGAGACAGACAGACAGACAGACAGAAAGAGTGAGAGATCAAAAGAAAATTAAATAGAAAGAGAGACAGAGAGAAGAAAAAAGTTACCTATTTCTAACGTAACCTTAGATAACCTTGGCCGTGAAAGTCACCGTTAATATCTTCACCTGTTATTATCCGTTCAAATATCTGGCAGAGTAACGGTATATCTGTTTGTCATGACACTTCACGGATTTACACAAAAGAGAGTCAGTTCTCTTATTAATTACGAATGACTTTCAAATTACGATATATATATAGGCCTATATAACACAGTATATTCAGTATAATCTGATATTTTTCTATAAGGATTATGCTCTTACTCCTCTCTTATTATCATGTATTTTTTTCTATTCATCTTATTTCACAAAATAGTTGTAATGAATTTTGACAAATGAAAGAGGCTCGTAGTCCTACCAAAAACCCGTACAGTGTCGGTATAATTGAAATAATAGTGAAGTGAAAATTTCATAATATCTATAACAAATCAAATAAAAGTAGCAATAACGATGAAAATAACAGCAAGATAATAAGAAAGGAATAAAAAATAAGTTGGTAGACCCTAGGAGGCCCCTCTCTAGCGCCGTTTCTAAGTAAGAAAAAAAATATCATAACCATTAAAAATAGGAAAATACAAAAAAAAAAACAATAACACTAAAAACAACAACAACAAAACAACAACAACAACAACAAATCTCTAAAACTCCGAAAGAAACGAAAAAGGGAATAGGCTCGTAGTCCCAAAGCACCTCCATTAAAATGCCGACGCCTTGTTAATGGTTCTGTTTAACGCGATCAGGTCGGCCGCAATTAGTCTCTCTCATGTACCGTTCGCTCGTTCTCACACTTGTCTGCATGACACACACACACATGCATTATGGCGTTTTGAATATAGATCTGTCATGAACTCTTGGCGCCGTGAACTCATCCGTCTGGAAGAAGCGCGAAAAAAAAAAAAAATGGCGGGAAAAAAATGGCGGGGATTAGTATTGCTGGAGAAGGGGGGGGGGGGAGGAGGATGAGATTTTGCGTTTTTGTTTAATATTCATTTCTCTTTCTATTTTGACATGGAAGACGGATGTAATATCAAGGAAGAGGGAGAGATAGATTTTTAAAAATAGCACGTTAGGCAGCAGGAAATAGAGAGGAAGAGACGCAAAGAGAGGTCTAAATAAAGGAGAAAAGGAGGAGGAGGAGGAAAAGGAGGAGAGGAAGGAGAAAAGAAAAAGAAGATAAAGAAGACAAAGAAGGCGGAGGAGGACAAGAAGAGGAGAAGGAGAAGAAGTAGAAAGAGAAAAAACAAAGAAGATGAAGAAGGAGAAGAAGAAGGAGGAGGAGGAGAGGAGGAGAAGAGAAAGAACAAAAAGAAGAAGAGCGAGAGAGAGAGATAAACAATCACAGCTCCGGAGAGAGATGTAGAGACAGAGAAACACGAATGAATCATTACTAAGAATACCATGATGCCACCGCAGTTCCGAAATGTTAATTACAATTTCCGGCAACAGATGGCAGGGCCGAGGGATCCTTACGCAGGCGCCGTGACTGCTCATAAGGCCGGAAATCCCGGTGTTTCGAAGGGATAAAACGACCTTACCAGCTCTAAAGCAAGTTAAAGCGCCATTGCGGTGTCAAAACAA